TGGCCCAATGTTGGGTAGCGGAGTTGGGCTGTATCCAGGCGTTAGAATGGCCGGCGCTCGCACAACTGCACAGCAAGAGCCCTAAAAACCTTGACATGAATTTGCACGCACCACCGGGGAGTTCGGAAGATGCTTACCTTAGGAGTTGTACGTTGGGGGCCGTGAATGGACGTCACCATGGTTCGAGGGGCGACGGCACATTGGGTATGACTCTCAATGTCCAAACGTAAACCTCAAACCTTAAGCCCCTAACCTTAAACCCTACAAGCCCTAAATTACACTTTGAACGCCCTAAAACTAACCATCCCTAAGCCCGAAACCCTAAAGCCTGAAAGCAAACCACCCCGACCTCGACCTGCTGCCGCTGCCGCTGAAGCTGCAGCTGCAGCGTTTCCGCGTCTTGAAGGTCCTAGAGGCAAGGTGAAGTCGAACACTGGTGCAAGTGGGCCCGTCATGTCGGGCAAGCCTCATAACACATAGCAACAGGGTGACAAGAAGTTGCAAAGAACTCAAGAAAGAAGGTGAAAGGGAGGGTATTGTGGTTGTTTCTAACAGCAAGGTTGAGCTGCTCAGCTTTATGTCCAAGCAGCTCATGTCTGTGCCCGCATGCCCCTGAACCCTAGCCCGAATTTTGAACCCTGAACCTTTGAGGTTTAGGGTTTACACTGAAACCCTGAACTCCCCAAAGCCCTAAACCCTGAGCTCGAAAAGCCCATGAAGGCAGGCCTCTACGCAACCCCCCACGCCCCCAACGCACCCCAACACCCCCAACCCCTCCCCAGAAAGTTCAGCGGCTTGCTGGAATGAAAAGAGACACCTGACTGCCTGCTTGTGGAGTTGGTGCACTCTGTTGATTTGGCGGGGTCTATGTGGACATTGCGCTACGATTCTTCCTGCAAGCGCCTCAGCCCGCTGCACGGACAAACCCGAGGGTTGGAGGGTTCTGAGGACTTGCGGTCCCCACACCTTCTACTTGCCACTCACGCATCTGGGCGTGGGGAATGGAAGCTTGCACACTTATAAACCCCAAGGTCACTTGGAGATTGGTGCGCATATCGGCTGCTGCAAGGAGGCAATGCTTAAGACCGTCAAGACGGTCAAGCGATGACCGCGCCCTGCTTGCTGGCGCTTTCTATGAAGACCCTCCCCAGCACCCTAGGACAGCTCTAGCTCTGGACCTTAGCACTCTTGAGACCTAGAGATGCTGGTGGTATGTGTCTGGTGCATGCACCATTAAGGATCCCACACGCTGCCCAGGCCGAGGCCTTAAGAACAAGAACAAGAACAAGAACAAGAACAAGAAGAAGAAGAAGAAGAACAGAAACAAGAAGAAGAAGATGATGATGAAGAAGAACAAACAGAGATCACAATGGTGATCGCAATCGTCATCGTAATGTAGCAGTTTAAGTTACGTAGTAATAGCGCAAGCCCGGCCTGGCCAGATCCGAAAGTAGCTTCTGAGCTTTCTTCCTCAGGTGAATAGCGCAGTAGGCTAATAACAATTTAGGGTCTGTTTCAGGGACAAGGCCTTGCAACCTTACGGTCGGAGGATGTTGCTACCACCTCACGGCCCATTAGCCCAGCAGTCGCATCAAGCCAGAGGTTGGTTTCGTAAAAGCCTATGCCTATCTGTCAAGCTTGCGGACCCTCAGAGCTACATGCTCGCACCGGCGTCAAGTTAACCTGCCAAATCCTTCACACAACTCCAACGCTGTGTTAGAAACGCGTTGGGTTTAGGCAGAGCGTCGGCTTGAGGATCTCGGGATTTAAGACATAAACTGTCTTCGCGTTGCCTAGGCTTCAACGGTTTGGAGGTCAAGGTTTATGTCTGCGCGCCACGTTGCATACTTAAGGTTTAGGAATTAGGGTTCAGTGTTTAGGGTTTAAGGGCTTCGGAGGGTGTAGGGCTCCGTTATGAACACCTGGACCCGCACCAGCCATAAATTAACGGGCTTTTGGCCTATCGACCTACAACCTATCGACAAGCTGACGGCTCAAGGGTTCTTCCTTCAGGAAGGAGAAATCAAAAGGCAAAGGAAAACTAGGGGAAGGATTTATCACGCGGCAAGGAAGGCTCCAAATACAGCGAAAGAGTCGAAGAGATATGGACGGGTTTGAGGTCTGGGGCATATTTTGCCTGCTCAAGATACACAAAAAAGCAGCCCGAACTTCCAAAATCACTGAGGATTCATGGAACCCTGAACCCTCATCTGGGCACCATGCGCGACCTCCGCAGGGTACCTTGAGGTTTCTGGGAGGTTACAGAAACTTGTCGCGTCTTAGTGGTCCGCACTTCCTACTTTGAGTAGGCCCTGTTGGAATGCGTCGGCCTTCGGGGCGTCACTTCGGAAGTTAGGGGACTTATACACCCTGCCTTGAGCAGCACGCGCCTTCAGCTTCCTCGCAGTTCAAAGTTGAAGGTTTAGGGCCTGTAAGGGTTCCTTTTGCGGGTAAGCGGGGTTTAGGGCTTAGGGGAACTTAAAGAAGATTTGCACGAACCTGGCATGGAAAACCTTTTGCAAACTGGGAGTTCTGAGGCATCCCTTACTGGAGAAAGGGCATAGGGTTGTTACATGTAGGGTGTGGACGTGAATTTGCTCTGCAATAAATAATTGGGTTATAGTTGGATATAACCTGATTTCAGGTACTTCTTTCCCTCCTTTTCACTAACCATGAACATGTCGACGCTTCTATAAACCCTCACGCTCTCAACCCAGCCTTCTCCAGAGGCGCAAAAACCACGTGATATAGTTTTCACTTTCATAATATACTTTCTTACAAAATTCCTACACAGACAAGGAGCTATGACAAAAAGTTCGGAACCCCTACTCGCGACCCGAGGCCCCAAACCCCAAACTTCAAACCCGCAACCCTGAATCCTCAACTCAAAACACGAAACCCGCCGAAACCCGAGCATCCTTGGCCCAGCAACCCTTCAACAAGCCTCCAAAACCTCCGATGCCATAGTGCCAGGAAACCCTATGGCGGGGTTCAGACCCTAGAATATCCGCATACATGAAAGCCCTGTGAGCGAAACGTTCGTCGGAGGAGCAGAAGCAGCGCACCCGGCACAGACTGATATTGCTCAAGAAGCCACTCCGCCACGAATCCGCACTTCCCGAATGCTTTACTTGTCCCAGTGATAGTGTTTGGATTTTGCATGGGTTGCACAACGCTAAAAACAATCAGAGCTTACCTACCCAACTACTCCTCCTATCCACGCCTAAGACAGGGGAACCCTCCACCAAAGACCGCAAGAAAGTGACCCTAAACGAAAACCCGCACTTAAACGAATAAGCCTACCTAAACCCTGAACTCTAAACCTTCAACCCTAATCCCAGCCTCGTGGCAGACGCTGCCCTTTAGACACTCCTGGGCTTAGGGTTTAGGATTTGGTGTTAAGGTCTTAGGGTTTCAGGGCAGCTGGGAGTTGACATCGACACCATGCGCTTTCTTCAATCTCCGTGATGGTATTCCAGGAGATTTTGGGGTACCCCCCCCCCCCTTCCAAGTCCTACCACTTAAGCCCTATCGGCCCGAAATTTCCCACCCTGGACCCTAAAGCCCTCAACCCTCCATCCTAGCTCCCAAACCTCGAAGGTTTAGGGTTAGGGTTTGGGGTAAGCCCGCAACCTAAACCCTCAACCCCAAAAGCCAGGAGATCCTAAGCCCCACCCGAATCCGCTGCCCGAAGCCCCAACACACTCGCGAAGGACGACTCAGGGAGCAGGGACTGAAGCCCAAAAACCTTGAAACCCTGAAACCCTGCCAAACCCTAAAAACGAACCTTAAAGCCCTAGAACCGCAAAACTCGAAAACCCTCAACCCTAACCCCTGAACCCCCCTTTCAGACTTCGGCCCGGTGCCGGATTCCGTTCGACAGGCTGCTCAGACCCAGAGGATTCCTGTAAGGATTAGGGTTTAGAGCTTGGGGTTCAGGGTAGGGTTTAGGGTTTAGGGTTTACGGGTTTAGGGTTTAGGGTTTCGGGTTTAGGATTACAGAATTTAGGGTTTGCGAGGATTCCAGGGGGTAAGCCTTTTTAGGGTTTAGGGCTTGGGGATGGGGCTTACGGGTTTGGGGGGGTAGGGTTTGGGAGTTTAGGGTGTAGGGTCATGGGTTCAGGACAGTTTCTGGGTTTAAGGTTTACCGTTTCGGGTTTTAGGCTTGAGGGTTTCTGGGTTTGAGGGTTTGAGGCCCAGTTTGGGGCTGTGGAGAGATCGCGGAGGGAGGGCGGGCTTTTGGGCTTACAGGGTTGTTGGGGCCATTTTAGGGTTCAGGGCTTTTGGTGTTTTAGGATGGGTCAGATAATGAATGTACTTTCGTCCCAGTGTGGACTCGATGAACCCGTGATATCCCTAACAGCTGACCGCTGCCATGCACGTGCAGATATTTGCACGGTTGGGCTTATGTCATTTGCCCCTGCTTTGGAATGCATCAGACACAGATTCAGGTCAAACTTGTCAAGCCTGGCTAACGAAATCTCACCGCACCCAAAAACCTAAGGTGCTTACACCTCGCAACCACTACCAACATCCCAAGCAAAACGTGACTCCATCCATGACGCCAGATGCTTACAATTGCATGATGAAGCTTTAAGAGGGAATCCACAAACCATGCATGCCCAAAATGGTTTTATGGTGTTGGGGTTTGAGGGTTGAGGCCCAGAGTGGGGGTCGAGGAGGGAAAGGAGGGCGGGATTTAGGGCTTCGGGCTTAGGGTGGCTTAAATGGGGTGCAAGGCAAGTGACATGTCTGGCTAGAACCTTCGCTGGGCGCCGGGCATCGGTCTTATCGACGAGGATGGCCACCTCCTGGGCTCCGGCTTAGAGAGCTTGGAGTGGTCTCGGTTGCTCCGGGCCAACTGCAGTACTCCAATAAAGAGAACGCGAGGAAAACGATGATGTGGGTGGCAACACTCAACTACAATGATTATGACAAACAGATGAGGATGCCACAGAAACAATGCATGGGTCTCTGCACATGCGAAAGAGCAGCAACCGCTAGCTTTCGCAAACAGCCGCCTGTGACCTGAAAGCCAACACCAGGGCAAAGGCCGGTGTAGCACTTTCATAGAAGTCCTGGCCGTTCACTTGTCCATGTTTGTTGACTGCTTCCAACAGCAACAAATTGTGAAGGCGCGCCCGGGCTTCGGAGACGACTCCAACGCGCGTTGGTGTGGGCATGACCTGGGCCAGAGCGGGCGAAAAAACCTTGGCACCCCTGCCTGGGACACCACCCCAAACCAAATAGGCGGGAAAGAGAAATGGTGGAGAATTGTTTCTCGCGTTTTCAAAACCATTTTTTGTTTTGGGGTAAGAGAACCTCTATTTTCTGTGTTTTTAAGTTCCTCTGTTTTTCTTTAGTTCTAGGAGGAAAACCTTCATGTATCTCTACTCCAAGAGGAAAACCTCGAATTTTCTTCTGTATGTTTTTTGTCTAGGAAAGCCTCTCGTCCTCGGTCTTCCCTAGGAAAAACCTTTTTAACTCTGTATGTCATGAGGATTCGTCCGAATTTGCAAGGGAGTCGCATTAATTTTGGGTAATTTCCTTGGTTTTCCTTAGCAAAAACTCTGTTGCCTCTGCACGTTAATAGGTTTGTTGCCCTAGGAAAACCCTATTGCTTCGATAATCTCATAAGATTCGCACTAATTTCGTCAGTGTCACTCAGTGTCACTGGGTTTCCCTAGACGTTTTTAAGGCAAAATCTCTTCTGGGCATGAAGTTGGGGGAGTGGGGCGGGTGCAGCCCCCCCACCCCACCCCCTTACCGAGAGCAAACACAATGCTCGCAGGACAGGTTTGGAATAGTATCTAAAATACTGCTCCTGCATTTCTTTAGTTCTTCCTGTCTTTCGTTCTTTCTTTCGTCTCTGTTAGGTACCTTCTTTCTTTCTTTTCTTCCTATTTTCTTTCTTATTCATTTATCCATTTCGTTTGTTTTTGTTCTTTCTGTCTCTCCATGTATCGATTTAGCTTTTTCGTTTGTTCTTTCTTTATTTCGCTATTTCTGTCCGTCTGTTTTCCTTTCTTTCTGTCTGTATTTATTTCTGTCTTTCTTGTTTTCATGATTTCTATATTTTCTGTTCTTTTCTTGTCTGTCTTTCCTTTTATTTTACTTTTTCATTGTCTTTTCTTTTCGCTTCTTCTCTTTTGCTGTCTTTTATTGTCTCTTTTCTTGTCTGTTATTTTATTGTTTTCTCTTGTTTTTTATTTGATTTTCTTTATTTTCTTCTTGTTTCCTTTATGTTCTTTTCTTTTCATTTCATTTTTTGCTATTGTCTTTTGTTTGATTGTCTTTCTGAAGCTTCATTTCGTTTATGTTTTTTCTTTTCGTTTTTTTGTTCTATTTTCTTTCGTTTTATCTTATTGTATTGTCTTTTCTTTTCTTGTATTTTTTCTTTTATGTTATTTTATTCTATGTTCTTTCTTTTCTGTTTTTCCTCTATTTTCTTTTCATTTCTGTCATTTTGTTCCTTTCTTTCTTTCTCTTCTTTCTCTTCTTTCTCTTCTTTCTCTTCTTTCTCTTCTTTCTCTTCTTTTTTCTTTCTTTCTTTCTGTCTTTCTTTCTTTCCGTCCTCTTCCCTCGATCCACCCCAGCCCCTCCTAGTAAAAAACAAGAGGAAATAGAGGTTTCCTCCTACAATAGAAATACATACAGGTTTTCCTCAAAATAGAGACCGCCTGAGGCGCTCCTCCTAGATGTGGAGAAAATATGGCAATAAGCGAACGCCTGCACAAGATAGATAGTGGACTTTGTCCCGAGGCACTGACTGCAAACAGCTCAAGCTCAAGTGGATCCAGGTGAGAATGAGCCTGACACATCAAGAAACTGGCCAAAGCGAGCATGGGGTAAATGGTTCCAGGATCCTATCGGCTGCACGCTTAGACAAGCACTAGTCACAAAAACGAGCATGTAAGATCATTGCTTTCAGGCTCTTGGGTTTGGGTTTGGGTGTGAATCTGAAAAGCCTCAACTTTGGTTTGAGCCTGACAAGCGAAACCTTGGGCTTGATCCTGAAAAGCCGCAAAATGCCTCAAGCCTGCAGTATCATGACGCAAACGTCTGTGCCTGAAACGCGTGAACATAAGCTTCACCCTCGCTACCAACAACCCAAACCCAAGATGAACCGCATTGTATGAACATGAAAAACACAGCATTGAAGGTATCCTGCAAGAGGTGCAAAACGCATCATTAGCAAGTACCACACAGAAATGTTGTGGGCCATTAAATCTCTCCAACCCGACACAAGCAGAACACCGAAAGTCTGCACAACGCACCAGGGCCCGCGCAGCGAAGATAAAGTCCGCGTGCTGCGCTTGCGCGGCACTCCTAAATCCTAGGCTAGGTGTCGATTTCAACAGTTCCCACAATTACATATAATTAGGGCTCCATACGAAACAATAAAGGAAATTTCAAAATTATCCCAAATCGATGCCTAGCACGGGTCTGCCCACCTGCGCTCCTGCACTGCGCCCCTAGCCTCAATCCTAAACTCTAGCCTCTTCGCTTCTGTGGTGTTGGGGTCTGCAGCTTGGAGGTTTAGGGTTGAGGGTTTAGGGTTTGGGGTGCTTGCCTGCATGTGATGCTGCCTGCGCTTCTTTGGTCCGGGCAAGCGGCGCGGGGTGAACATGATCCCCACGCAAAATGAGCAAGAGAAAGGAAAGCAAACAAACTAAGCAAAATCACATCAGGTTCCAAGAACACCCCGGTGCACATGTACACCTGCACTTCAGCGCCCATGCAACTCGGAAGTGCGGCTTGCGCACACCCCTAAACCCTAAGCCTACTCAAGGACATTCCTGCAGGTCCAAGACACGACCCGCTGTACATGCAACAAATCCGACAACGGTTCACTTTCCATCACGGCAAAAGAGCAAGAACCGTCATACGACAATTGCCCTGCAAAACTCATGCAAATCATGCAAAAATTTGGGACCTTGCCCATCAGAATACGAGTCCTATAAACCCATAAGCTCTGCAAGCCTCCAGAGCCTTGCAGCAGAGGCGTCTGTATGGGGCGTGAGTGTGAGCATGGACCGTGCGAGCCATGACCCCAAGGGTTTCAAGGGTTTCGGGTTTACGCTACCCTCGAAAACCTACATAGGCTTTGGAAAGAACAAGCTACGGACCATGGTGGAAGGCAGAAGATCTGATGAAGCCCTAGTGCGATCATATATTAGTTAGTCGGGTGAGTATGCCAAACTGCGTGAGCTAAGATGACCCGGGCCAAAGACCATTGCGCGTAGAGCCCAGTCGACACACCCACCTTTCTTGTCGCGCAGTTGGCTGTGTTAGGCAGACTTCAGCAGCACAGGAGATCGTAAAGACCTTGCTGGATGTCTTTCCTGGCAGACTTCAGGAGCTTCAGGTCAGTGATCAGCATCTTTGGAAGTGATTGCCCACTGATCAGGATTCTGACCAGCAGGGACACCCACTTCTGACGCCGAGGCTTCTCCATTGCACGCACAACATTTTGAAGATGGGGCAAGCACAGTGTTGCCTGTGTCCAAACCTCTTGGCTGATTTCGGTGGACTCGTTCAGGAGGTTCATCAGGCCAAGCATGGCACCGCGATCATCTGCTGCACACAAGGCAAACTACCTCTCCCATAGTTGAAAAACAATAATAAGGTGCGCGGATTTCCTCATTGGTGTATCCACGTCGCAGCATCGCTCAAGCAGGTCTCCAAGGTTTGCAACGACCATACGGCGGGCATCACTTTCTGAGAAGTGGGTCTTTCTAGCACTTGCCAGCCTCATACACCACCACCGACCTGGGATTGCAAAAAGACCCTATGCCATTCTGCGAACAAACCTCCTGTCTGGGGAGCATGCTACAAAGCATCAGATCGAGAGGCACTCAAAGTACTTCCTCTGCTCGGCATCATTTTCGCAGCCATCGGCATCGAAGGCATCCGGGCCTCGGAGGGCAAAGTCCCATTTTGCAGAAAAATCGAGAATGGACTCCGACCTGCGAAGCAAAAGCAATGGTGCATGACTCCCATGTATGTCGCCATGCAGTCGGCTGTTATGCAGAAGACGCCTGTCCAACCTACCCATTTCCTCCAGGTGCTTGATCAAAGCCTTAGGCACCCAGGAGGCCAGCATCTCACTATGCATTGCACCTGGCGTTGGGGCGAAGCAAAGGCGCCAAGCTCCCTGCCCGAGGACTCGTGGCCTACCGGGATGTCACGCGACACTCCAGCATGTCATCCACCTCGGGGGCACGTGCAGTGAACCTGCCCATTGAAGAGTTGCCAGGTCTGTACCAATCATTGCACCCGGTATTGTCGCGGGCTAAAAGGTACTGCAAGAGATTGGGCCGAGAATGGTGCGCTAGAGGCTGCTAGATACCCCACGTCGAAACTCGTCCTCCCCGCCTCTCTGTCGTAGTTCCTCTGCCCTTCTCCCCTCTCTGCCCTCCGGCTCCTCACAGGAGGCCGAGGTTGAGGCGAGGGAACATGAAAATACGAGACACAAACGCGAGAAACAATGTTAACCTGGGACATACAGGCAGCCAGGACAATCTGATAATCTAGCACTAGGACGCAGCACTTGACAAAACTTCGGTTGGGAGGGCTCGGTGCGCTCACTGGAGCAATTGAGACCTAACTGTGTCAACTCCTGGCCTGACACTTTGCCGCGCAACGGCCTTTGAGGTATGCGAAAGCAAAAAAGACCCGAACCACAGATTGCAGGCAGCCCGGGGTGCGGCAGCTCGCGCTACGCACATGTTCACCTACAATGCACAGGCTCCGAGGCTACTGCTCGCTATCGGTAGCCCACGGTATGACCGCCAGCGTGGAGCCTGCAAGAGAGCAAGAGCAGAAGCGAAGCTGGAAGCTTTATGAGAAGTAACTCCCCGGTTGGCAGGCGCGAACGGACTATTTCCTGCCACTTTCTGATACTGCAAGGTCTCTCCTGTAGATTCTGCATATACAAAGAGCCGACTGGCCTGGCCTGTCGTCCTGCCAAACTACATGACCAGTTCCTTGCGCAAAACAACTAACACACTGCCACTCGACGAGTCAAGCGCTTGCTGCCCAGGAAGTGGCTTGATTGACTCACAGCCCAGCAGCTCAGTTCTTCGAGGTCGGCCACATCACTTCTTCTCGAAGCTCACGAACATCTTGGGACGCCGACCGGTCAGCAAGGAAGATGAATCGAACTGTTCCAAGTGCCCATCGTGGTGCGCATCGCTTGCATCTGCCACGGAGCTGGAGATATCGGGCAAGAAGTGGTCAGCCGCATGTGTCGCTGCGGTCTCTGGGAAGAAGGCGCCAAAGCTCGTGGCACAGGCATGATGGGTGTCGGAGCACGTGGAGTTGTCATGACCCGTCAGGCTCGCCAGCAGACCACTCAGGGGTCCGGCCCTAGCTTGCGAGAACAGGAGCGCGATGACAAGGCCGCGAATCATCTCGGGCGAATCACACGAATCAGAGATATTGCTCAAAGCACGCAGGTTGGCCTGTTAGCTGAATGTGCTGCAGAATTCATGTCACATGTCACGGCTCCAATACAAGGTCGACACATCCAATTCTCCTGTCTGCTAGTCACTGCAAGTCATTGCTAGTCCCTGCTAATCATGGATCATGTTGGTAAAAGTCCTGCACAAGCTGTGATGCTCCCATGTCCACTGTGACAGGTCTATGTTTTCCGGTAGCCATGCATCACATCCGTGTCGCAACAGCCTACAGAGATGCCTGCCGCCTTGGAAACAGCAACACTGCAGCTGGAATCCATTGCAGACTTGTCTGATACAGCTGACGCGAAACCCTTCACTGCAGTCAGCTGATCTAGGCGGCTCTTACAGCTGCCGAAAGCAGCGTTGGCACCGACATGAGATGGTTCTCTACATGCAGGCGCTTGCTGCCCAGGAAGTGGCTTGATTGACTCACAGCCCAGCAGCTCATTTCTTCGAGGTCGGCCACATCACTTCTTCTCGAAGCTCACGAACATCTTGGGACGCCGACCGGTCAGCAAGGAAGATGAATCGAACTGTTCCAAGTGCCCGTCGTGGTGCGCATCGCTTGCATCTGCCACGGAGCTGGAGATATCGGGCAAGAAGTGGTCAGCCGCATGTGTCGCTGCGGTCTCTGGAAAGAAGGCGCCAAAGCTCGTGGCACAGGCATGATGGGTGTCGGAGCACGTGGAGTTGTCATGACCCGTCAGGCTCGCCAGCAGACCACTCAGGGGTCCGGCCCTAGCTTGCGAGAACAGGAGCGCGATGACAAGGCCGCGAATCATCTCGGGCGAATCACACGAATCAGAGATATTGCTCAAAGCACGCAGGTTGGCCTGTTAGCTGAATGTGCTGCAGAATTCATGTCACATGTCACGGCTCCAATACAAGGTCGACACATCCAATTCTCCTGTCTGCTAGTCACTGCAAGTCATTGCTAGTCCCTGCTAATCATGGATCATGTTGGTAAAAGTCCTGCACAAGCTGTGATGCTCCCATGTCCACTGTGACAGGTCTATGTTTTCCGGTAGCCATGCATCACATCCGTGTCGCAACAGCCTACAGAGATGCCTGCCGCCTTGGAAACAGCAACACTGCAGCTGGAATCCATTGCAGACTTGTCTGATACAGCTGACGCGAAACCCTTCACTGCAGTCAGCTGATCTAGGCGGCTCTTACAGCTGCCGAAAGCAGCGTTGGCACCGACATGAGATGGTTCTCTACATGCAGGCGCTTGCTGCCCAGGAAGTGGCTTGATTGACTCACAGCCCAGCAGCTCAGTTCTTCGAGGTCGGCCACATCACTTCTTCTCGAAGCTCACGAACATCTTGGGACGCCGACCGGTCAGCAAGGAAGATGAATCGAACTGTTCCAAGTGCCCATCGTGGTGCGCATCGCTTGCATCTGCCACGGAGCTGGAGATATCGGGCAAGAAGTGGTCAGCCGCATGTGTCGCTGCGGTCTCTGGGAAGAAGGCGCCGAAGCTCGTGGCACAGGCATGATGGGTGTCGGCGCAGGTGGAATTGTCATGACCCGTCAGGCTCGCCAGCAGACCACTCAGGGGTCCGGCCCTAGCTTGTGAGCACAGGAGCACGATGACAAGGCCGCGAATCATGCTGGTCACGGTCTGATCACAAGAGCCCTTGAGCAAACTTTGCGGCTGTTCACATGTGCTGCAGCTCCATTCAACTTCGGGGGTTTCGGCTTACGGGGGTTTCGGCTTGGAACATTGGCACGGCCACGTTGGTGATGTCAAAGGAGTCATTCAAATGCTTGGATTTGCTTTGCAGCATTGAGTTGTTAAGCTTTCACTAAGGCAGTCACTAAGGGATGTTCATACGTGGCTTGTGTAGGCACACGACTCTGGTGCGATATGACCACGGACACATTCAAGCTGGGCTATGACCTCGAAATCTTGAAACACTGCGCCTGTGAGCGGTCCAGAACGCCCGATTTTCTTCAGCTAACAACCGACCAGAAGAAGGCAGATGGTAAAGGATTTCCACGCCCAGGGAGAAGGAAAAGCGACCGGAAGAAGGCATACAGGGAAGAATTGCCACGACCGGGGAAACGGAATCAGATCTTCTTCAGCGAAAAACAGACCACGGTCGCAGAAGAAGGCAAATGGGGATGGGAAAGGAGTAACATGCCCCTAGGGAACTGGAAAAAGATTTTCTTCAGCGAAGAAATCCTATGGGGCAGGAATACCACGGCCAGAAGGTGGAAAAGGATTTACTTCGGCTAGCAACCGACCAGAAGAAGATGGAAAAGGATTACCACGCCCAGGGAGCTGGAGAAAAATTTTCTTCAGCTAACAACCGACCAGAAGAATGCATATGGGGAAGGATTACCGCGATCAGGGAGCTGGAAAAAGATTTTTTTCAGCTAACAACCGACCAGAACAAGGCACAGGGGGAAGGATTGTCACGCCCAGGGAGCTGGCAAAAATTCTCTTCGATACTGAGCCACTGCACACCAAAAACTGCGGGCACCTGGCTTGGGGAAACTCAGGCATGGACCACGCTGAGCATGCGCTCCAGCATCACACAGCGGAAGCGTGCAGCTGCGCGCAGCAGCCAGGGTGCAGTGTCCAGCCTGGTTTCGCTCTTGCGAGTCTGCCACATACGTCTTCGCTAATTCTGCCTGGGGTGTGAGGCTCAGAAGACGGATGTGGCAGCGCAACTACGGCTCCTCATGGCAAGTGCAACTTCCTAATCGCATTGAAGCTTTTGAAACAAATACAAGAGGCACTGCACTGTTCATTGAACATCCGTTCTCCAAGCTGAACTCCAGGCTCGACACCAGCTGACACCAGCTGACAGGCCGACAAGCCAGTACTGGCTCCAGCCTGCAGGCGCTCAAGGATCCAGCAGCAGCTAACAGGACAGAAGCTCTGAGACCCGTTCACTTCTAGCCCCAGGGATTTTGGTGCCCACGATTGGAGCATGAATCGAATCTCAGAACAGCGGAGAGTTCCTGCCCTCCTGCCTTTAGTAAGCAAGGAAAGCGCAATACTTGCAAGGTCTGTGTGCTTCCGGCAGGTGCTCTATGGAGTCTATGGGCGGGCGTTGGCGCGCTCTAGGAGCCATGTAGCCCCCCCCCCCGCGGCGCCTAAAGTGGCCTCGCTTCATGATTCGCCACACCTCGGGCGAGAAGATCCTGCAGCAAAGCGTGCCAAGATGGGCCAAGCGCCACGCGCAAACAACAGAGCTTTCATTACAACGCTCACCCCACTCCGATCTCAGACTCTGAAAGATTGAGAGGGGGTCAGTACGCTGCCAGGTACAAATTTCACGACTACTCAGATCTGCTGTCCGATGAGCAGCGAGGAGACATCCCGGGCCGCTTGGAAGGACCCATCGCCTGAGGTCTCGCGCTTTGGGTTGAGCAACGAGATACCGCAACATCTAGGAACGGCGTAATTATGCTCAACAACATATTCATAAACTGTGTGCTGCCTCGCAATAGCTACCGCTGTGTTGAACGGATAACATCTGCAGAATCGGCACATGAACACATGAGGACGTGCCAGGCACTCTATTTCGGCCCGAAGTGAAAATCTTTTGGGTGTCATGGCAGCTCATTCCGGACCGCATCGACCGCATCATCTGCTTACATGCCGCGTCATGAGCCATGAACAAATGCCTCATGGGTGCCTGTCGCCCTCTCCAAACGTCTCCTTTTCTGCTATGCATCTGCAATTCCAAAGATTCCTCTACAGACCTGAGAGAAGGCTAGCAAAAATGATGACCAAAATGAAAACAACAATAGTGTCATCAACCATGATAATTTCTTTCCCACATCTTTTGGCGACTTTGGAACACCAAGTGGTGGTTGAACGCAGCTTTCATGTCGGTTGTGTGAAAAGTACTATTGTCACAGGGCCCGCGAACGCTCGCAACGGGCCTTTCAGGTAAGTCTAGACGGAAGAAACTTCCCATAAACTGTGGTAAGACTGTGTGGTTCGTTTGGATTCGAGACGTCCATATCCTCGTGCAATCTATGCCATAGTCTTCTGCTAGGGCCTCTAGGGCCTCTAGGACCCTTGGGTCGGGGAGTCGGACCCCCCTGAACGAGTCGTGCTGCCCTCGGAAATCGCTCACAAGCCGCCGCTGTATCGACCCGGGCCTGACACCAACAACTTCGGGTCGCTCTGAAAGATACTCTGAGATCACCTCTGGGCTGCCCCATTTATTATATTAGGACTTAAGACTCTCCACAGGCCGAAAGGGGGCCATGATTGTAGCCCGAGCTGGAGATTTGATTCGGGTTGGTTCTCCCGCCCCCCCCAAGTGCCCCGGCGGATACTGCAGCACCTTCAATCCCCGTGGGCCGCAGTGCAGGGTCCACCTGCCCTCAAAGGAACCCATCAAGGAGCCATTTGCAGGAGCTGCTGTCAAACAAACAAGCGAATCCACTGGGAGCTCAATGGGATGCTGTGACGTTTACAGGCGGTATGTGATTTTGGTGAAGCCGTTGCAACCGTTGAAGCCATGGACCTGAAAAGCTGTTGACGCAGTTGACGCCATGGAATGACGCCGTTGACGCCGTCGACGCTGTTGACGCTGTTGACGCTGTCGGCGTCGTCGACGCCGTCGACGCTGTTGGAGCTAGTCTTGCAAGGCCTTGGAGCTGGTTGCGACGCTTTGTTGCGTCTGGCACGACTTTTGGTCATGATTCGAGGGCTTCCTGTTCGACTTAAGCTGGAGCCTTGGACTTGCAAATGCAAACCATCAGAGATATGATCCTGCCTGCCTGCTTGTTAAGCGGCGCACGACCCGACGACGACACAAGAGCTGTGGGTAAAAACGCGTCTGGGAAAAAACCCACAGCCTTGACACGCGTGGCGCGGTCCGCTGACCAATGCCCACGCAACAGGAGCTGGTCCAAAAGAGGGCGCACTGCCCATTGACAGCCTGAACAGATACACAGTCAGCCCGGAGTGTCACGCCTCC